AATCAGTATCTTTTTCCACAAGGCCTAGACAGTGGATGTGTTCCTCAGCAAGAGAAAAAAACAATTCCAGCTGTTCCTTGGCCTGTGCTCTACAATGAAGAATGGAGATCACAGTGCTGACAGCTGGAGGTAAAGGGGTGAGTTGGGAAGAGCTTAAGCAGGGCACTATCTTTTTTAATGCATGCAGCCCTAACCCTGGCCTGCTGAAAGGAGGCAGCAGGGCTGCTGCCCTGCCTGAACAGCAAGGGATTCAGGCATTCAACATCTGCTAGGACTGGGTGCAAAGGGAAGCTCCCTACTGTGTTCTCAGATGGACGCTATGCATGTTAAGGGAGGAAAAGCTCACTGGATACCTTATGGGACTGAGAAATGCTCATCTAAGACAGCAAATAGAAGTGCTGGAAATTGCAGTGTTAAGGGGTGGCACAACCTGGGTATAGGCAAAATCCCAGGCACAATTAGGCCCTGCAGCTTATGCCCTCGCATGTGGGACTGCTGTGTGTCGCCCTGAAAACTCAGCTTCTGAGCTTGCTGACATGGTTTTCTAAAGACTTTCCCAGGACAGTAACTGTAAACACAGATATGTGTACATTCTTTCTGTTACACGTCTTGTGATGGGCATCTCTCATGGCCAGTGCAGTGAGAAAGTGTTATCCTGACCATCCAATCCCTGGCTGTGGTCAGAAACCTATAAATCCTGGGAGGAAAAATAAACTCTCTCTTGCTGTCACCACACCTCGAGCTGTGTCCATGTGATCTATTCAGCACCAGCGGCAACAGCTGTGGAATGGGCATCACCCAGGGGCCTTGCCAGGGGCTCTGCTGATGCTGCCCCAGCTTGGAACAGTGTTTGTGTGTCTGTGATGGGTCTCCAATGGTTTGTGGTCCTGAATGGGAAGTGAAACTTCAGGAGAAATTTGCTTTTCTGTGCAGAAATTGTCAGCTCAGACAGCGGCTCCACATGCTGATACGTGTCACTTTGTGCAGCTGGGCTGTTTATTTTGGAAAGCAGGGAAGTGAGCCCCTGAAAGTGGTAATGTTATTCAACACACAGGGTAATCCCAGGAATCTACAGTTCAGAGGAAAACATCCTTTCAGCCCACAGAGGTGTGGTGAGAGGCTTGGTGGCCTCAGCCCCTTCAAGGCAGGAAAGCTGTCAGTGGAGAGAGCACACAGGAACACTGGTGACTGCTGGGGTTGCGTTTTGACACCACTGGGAGTCAAAGCATGCCGGGTGCAGAGCGAGCTGTGGGTGCGTTTGGATCTCTTTCCTCCTCTGTTGTTCCCCATCAGAACCTCCCGTGGGGCGTTGCAGCATTTACAAAGCTCAGGACCTTTTGTTCTCCAGGAAGTTTCTGAACTTGCTGGCCCAACATGGGTGGTGAAGGGGGGACTGGTTGTTCTGGAGGCTGTTTCCTCTCTTTTTTTCATGAAAACTTGTACATCCCCCTCATGTGTGTGTGGTTGATGTGACACAGGAAAGGGTGGGCCGTGCTGGGCTGGTGATGTGACTCACACATCACCCATCTTTCAGTGTAAGCAGTGGTCCTGCTGTCCTCAGGAGCAACAATAATTAAATAGTTGTACACAACAGCTGCCTGGGGCTGAACTGGGAGCAAGAGACCAAAGCAGCTGAAGGTTAGTGCCCGTCACCAGCCAGGATGCTGGAGACAGAGAAGGGCATGGCTCTCTATACAGAAACAAGAAAAGCTGATGTGATGCTGGATTTCAGTGAAAGCCAAGGCAATTTCTCAGAACTGAGGGTGACCAGCTCACAATTTTCAATGCATTACTTCCAGCTCAAGAGAAATGTATTGTTGACCCCAGTCTCAAGAGAAAAAGAGGGATTTCTATGAGAGTTTTGAATTATTATAAAAGTAATGTACAGTTATTATATGTCAACAATATCTAGTAGCTCTTAAAAGTAACATCACAAAATAAAAAATACTTGTGCTGAATCAGCAGAGTATTTCAAATGTGGAAATAGGAATGCTAATAAGAAGCAGCCCATTCTCTTCTTATTTCATTCCACAAAAGCCATAATCCAACCGTTGAAGTTTATGTTACTTTGAAAATAAAGTCTTTTAAAGATGCATATTCAGAAGCAAAAATTAAGATTAAACTGGTGCAAATTTAAAGTTGGAAAATGTAAAAGATAGTCAAAAGAAGCATAAGGAAAAAATCATGGCCCGAGAATAAAGAAGAAAAAGAATGTAAGGATCTTGAGCACAAGTGGAAGCCTGGCAGCACTGTTGGGCCATTGCAAATCTGTGTATTCAAACTATCAATGATGACAAAGCTGAAAGGTGTCTGTGCTTGATGCATCATTCTTTACTCCCAAAGAAGGCAAACAAATGCCTTCACATGTGATAGTCAAGCATATTCAAGCAATAATTTAGCTGGTAAGCCAGGAAGGAGGGGAAGTCCCCTTGAGCTCACCGGATATTTTTAAATGAAACTTCAGGCTTTGTGGCTAATGGCAATAAATCCTCTGCAGTTAAAATATAGCTTTGATAGCTAGTAGCAAATTGATACCAGAGGTTTCCTGACAGGAAACTGATGTAACTGCTAACAGTTTTCTGATTTGAAAAACCTCTTTGATGTGAGAATCATAAAGAGATGAGTATGAGGACCAGTAGGATACAGGCTTAGAAATCCAGTAAACAGCATGTAAATGTGAAAAATAACTATCCAAAGGTCATTGTGGCAGCAGCATCCTGCCACTTGCTGGCTGTATTTAAGAATACCGAGTATCTGGTATTGCTGCAATGCAAGTCAGAAAAACATCTTCCTGCAGAGAGATGATTTAATGAGCAGGCATTGGGATGAGTTGGTGGGGCTGGTGTATAACACCAGGGAGGTGGGCTGTGAGGGTGGGAGGGGGAGTGAGTGCCTTGCAGAGAGCCAGGGAGGCTGAGCACCATCCCCAGCTCTGCGCCGTGCAAAGGTCTCTGACAGGGGAAGCTGCTTGGTGCACGGGTGAGTGGGGCACTTGTTGGTGTGGCAGCCTGGGCCACTGGGGTTCATGGCCAGAAGCCCTGGACATCACCTCTGCAGCAGCAACTCTTCACTGCAGGGCCACGGGGCACCCTAGGCACAAAGCCCCTCTGTGCTGCTGGCAGCTGTGCAGGGAAGAGGAGGGCCAGCCTGCTCCTTTGTGTCCATCTCTTGCTACTACTGCTCAGCTTTCGTTGACCCCAGCACCCAGCAGCTCTCCAGGGTTTCCAGGTGCTTTTCTTTTTTCCAGGAAAAGAGGGCTTGTTCTATTTCCCAGGGCTGTATTCCAGCCACAACACTAAAAGCAGCAGAAGGATGAGGTGCCCCCACACCAGGCAGCGCTGCACACATGGAGAGCATACAGCAGGGTGCCTGAATGCCATCTGAACGAGAACCTGGAGCTTTGCTGGGCCAAGCAGGGAACACCTTTGTACAGCTGCACCTGTATCCCACAGGGAGAGCACATGGGCTGCATTGGCTTCACTGGCAGCTTAGGAGTGCTTTATCCCCTTTCTACTGACTGCCCTCCTGAACCAAGGAAACAGAACTGGGAGAAAATCCAGGAGCCACCCTCATCCTGAGGAGGGACTGGCTACACCAGTGCTGGCAGATAGAAATGTCATTTGTCTGAAGACAACTAATGAGCCTTCTTTATTCTTCTTTTTTGCTAACTTAACAATTCAGTTCCCTCAGTCTTTCCTCATAGGTCAAGCTTTTAGGCTTGTGATCTTCCTTGTTCTCTTCTGGAGTTTCTCCAAGTGGTCTGCATCTTTCCTGAAAGGCAGTGTCCAAAATTGGTCATAGAACCTCACAGGAGGATTTACCAGCTTTAGATGGAGGGAAAGATTAGTATAAACTGCTATAGCTGTTTTCTCTGGAAAAGCTACTTAACAGATTGCTCACCACCCTGTCTTTGGGTGATGTCTCTTACTTATATGTCATATTTGCTTTTGTCCTTGAGTGAGTTAGATGTTTTCACCAGGCTCTCACCTATTTGTCAAATTTATTTTCAATTCCAGTCCTACGTGTCAGTGTGCTTTACTCCCAGCTTGGTGTTATCTCAGATACAGGCACACTCTTTATCTTCCAGCTCACTGATGCACAGCTATGTGTGGACGTGGGACATTTCAAGCTGCCAAACTCTATAGCCTAAATTCATAAGAGTCTGTGGGGTTTGAGACATGTAGGGATGCATGATTTCAGTATCAAATATCTCTGAGAGACAGCAGCCAAAAAACCCATTATACTGTTTGGATTATCAGTTTCTCTGACACTTCAACGTTTGTACTTCAGCACTTACAAGTATTTCATCTTGAAAAATATAACCCAGTAAATGTGTATTTATTATTCTATGTAGCACTGCAAGGAGGGGCAGAGATCACAGCAGTATTTAGGCCACAGTCTTTGCCATATGAATAATTAAAATTTGGAGCAAAGTCTTCCACACTGTCCCATATAACAGTTGTAAAAGTGATGTAAAATCCTGATCTGGAGCTTGAATTCTTATTTCAATATGCTGAACATCTTGTCCTGATATTTTGAAATAAAGCCCCTTAAACCAAAGCCATTGACTTACCGTATGTGTGCTTGTATGTAAATTCTAAGACAAACCTGAGCTTCTTGACAGCCTAAGAAAAGACTTTTCCAATATGCTGGCCTGAAGCAGGTGGTTTACATTAATTTACAGCAAAGTCTTCCTAGGTAACTTGGATACAAGCATGTTGAAATGAAAAAGGCAGATGAAGAATGAGTAAGAAGTCAGTTTGGGACAGGGAAAATTTCATAAAAGGGTTGATAAATGAAGCAGTGTGGTTCTTCTAAGTGTTTATGGACTCAGATTTTTGGTTGTGGTGAGTCTGAAGACAGGAGTGCCTTTTGGGTAATGTGCATCAAACCCTGAACCCCGCAAGTTCAGCAACCTCACAGGGCAATCAGTGAGGTAATTTCAGGCAATTCAGCCTGAAAAACTTCATGACTACTGAAATCTCATTTTCACTCACCAGGAGGATGATGTGTGTGTCTCCTCTCCATGTTGAACAGCAACACTGACTGCTCCCATGCCCTTTCCCTACCATCACTGCCAGCAGAACTCCACAGACATGAACTCCTGCAGTTAGAAAATGTGCACAGACTGCATTGCCAGAGCCCCTCTCTCCTGGGTGAGTTTGTGTGAGAGGTTCTGGGTTGACTTAGCACAGCCTGTGATGGTGGATGACCATGTTTCTGAGGTAGTGCAGGTTCCCACCTCACTTCATTTAGGCTGGGACTGTATCATCTGTGGAATGGGTTCAGTGCTGTGCAAGGCCAGTCTCCCTGCAGCTCTGGTCAGAATGCTCAAGAAAAATACAAGCAATTCTTTATGCAGTGAAGTGATGCTGGTCTCTTCTGGTAGGCAGAAAAGGCTTGGAAAGGCAAAAATCCAGAAAGGATCATTTCTTACAAATTGACCAAGAGAATAAATTCCTGCAGGACTGAGACTTGCAGAAGTTGTGAGCTAGAAGTGGACGACAGGCAGAGGGAATAGACCGACAATAAATGAATTAAGGTTGAAATTGGTAATGTTTCTTACCATACAGAAGAATGCTGAGAGGATAAAAGTGGTGGTGGGAACTGTCTCTATCAGTGTGGCACTTGTGCAGTGGAAGAGTGATGGCCTTACAGCTCTTGTGATCCCTTCTGTAACAGACTGAGTGTGACCACCCCAATGAAAGATCGAACAGCTTTATCTGTTATGCTGAGTCAAAGCTTTAAAAAAATATTTGTATTTATTAGAGGTGATGGGTCACAGTGAGATTGTCTGAACCAAGCATGGATTTGGTCTATGCACAGCATCTTTTCTGCTTGACATCCTTAAGATCATTCCTTAAACAAGCCTTAGTCTCTGCATGTCTAAAAGCAGCTGGTTGCCTGATTCCTTTTAACTTCTGTTACTCGTCTTGTTTGGTGAGAAGGGAGTTGAGGGTGGGCAGCCTTGGCTGTGAGTGACATCTCGTGGCATGCAGAGGTGCCAGTGACCTGGTGTAGTGTTGGCTGGAGGGGCCATTTCCTATTTATCTTGAGCTCTGAAAGACACGAGTCAAATCTGCTTCCTTGCCTTCACACAGAGCTGCCTCCCACGCTGGTGTGGTCCTTCCTGGTTATTCACTAGGAGCAACAGGGTTTCCACAGCAAAATTGCTGCAATCTGGAGTAACTGACAACATCCTCCCAGTTCTCTGTCTTGGAGACAGAAGGGATGTTAGATCTGTTTATGTTTTGGGCCATCACTGGATGGAACCAGTGGTAGCCCCTACAAATAGCAAAAAGACCAAAATTGGAAACAGACAGAGATGCCTGAGCAGCTGGGCTGTGCTCCAGCATCTGGAGAGTGCTCAATGCCCACACAGCTGGGCAGGGCTCCAGCATCAAGCGGCTCTGAGCTCTGAGAGGAGAAAATCAGCATCATTTCTATGCCTACTTATGGCCCTATGGGATGTTTTAGTCACTGCACACAGTGGGCAGTGTGAGAGAAGGAGTGGAGAGCTGTCTCTGCTTGGGTTCTGACTGGGCACAGGGACAGAAGATTGTGTCTGCTTAATCTTTAGCTGGGGAAAACCACTAGTGGAAGGAAAACCCTGGGGCCTGGCAATCAGTCAAGTACTGCTCCACTTGGTGGACACTGGGGAGTGTTTGCATGACATCCAGCAGTGTGAATGTGAAATTCAAAGGAGCTGGAGGAAGCTGGAATAACCTAATTCTTTAGCCCCTTCAGAACCTGCAATTATACCTAGAGCTGATGGAGGTAACCAAGGGCACAGAAAAGGGAACTTACTGAAATACCTCACCTTTCTGAACAAACAGCAAGTGAATTTTAACTGCATTGAATTATTTAGATAGATTTGTAGTGTTGCTTTTTGGTTTGGTTTTTGTTTGGATTTTTTAAAACAAGTTTGTCTGGTTTAAGTCTGTCAAGTATTCAAGTCTGTACATTTTCAGTGCTCTTTGGAAAATTACTACTTTGTTACAGTAAATTCTGGATTATGCTTATCACCTTGTACCTTTTCTTTTATGAAACATTTCAATAAAATGCTCCTTGGTGGCATTGGAGTTCAGAGAGATGGATGGTCTGGATTCTACTGAACTAAAATTCAGGCAAAAGCCATATTCAGGGTTAAGAATACAGTGTGCCTTGGCAAAAAAATCAGGCTACAGGTAGGATGCAGACAATTATCATTATGCCTCTGCCTTCAGACAAGGGATTTCTAGCTCATAGTTGGGGTGGTCCATCACAGTGAGAACAATGTTCCTGCGCTGTTGCCAATGCTGGCACTTTCAGAGAGTGGCTCTTGAAAAAATACAGCAGGCTGACATTATCCATCACAACAGGAAATCTAAAAATCTTACAACTTGTGCAAAGTCACACATCTTTTATTCCTATGACAACAAATACACAATGAATTTGTTCATGGTTGCTTCTGGGCAAAATCTCAGAGTAAGGGTGGCAATAATTATGTGGATGTGCTGCAAATCTCAGCATCAATTTCAGTTTTCAGGATGCTAACTTCATACCTATACTGTGCAGCTAATTTTACATTAAAGCATCTGCTTTAATTTATTCTTCTAGGGTTAAAATAATTTTTGTACAACAGACATGCTCAGTGCTATCATAACCTGAGCCAACTACTCTCCCCAGTAAGAAGGAAGGTCTCCCAGCCATCATGCTCTGCTGTTTCTAATCACTTCAAGCCCTGAGTTCTGGGTGTTTTTGAATAGAGTTGGATAAAATACATTCTTACTTCCTGCTGTCTGGTATGTGCACTAGACTATTTTTTTAAGCTGCATTCTTGGAGATATTGGCAAGCATTCTGAGCCTCTAACAGGCACTCACAAAGTGCGAGCTTCCAAGTTTCACAGTTAACCTCGGCAGATTTACACACGAGAGGGAACACAGAGCTCCAGGTCAGTGTTACATCCCCAATGGGCCTGTCTGCAGCATCTCCAAAGCGAGCTCTCCTGCCACTTTTAGGTTCCGTTTTCTCTAAGAAGGTAAGAAGCTGTTATTTGCTTATAGCTGGAGATAACCAGAGGTATTTTGCTGCTTCTCACTTGGGCTAACTTCTGAGAATAACTTGAGGATTTAGGGTCATTTGTAAGGTGAGTTAAGACTATATAGTTCTGGGACCTGGGACCACCACTTATATAAAACCAGGGCAGTTAGAAGCTGACCCTGATCAGAACTTGAATGCTTTTCATATTTGCATGTATGATATGAAGTGCCAGGATGGATTTGGAGCACTGATCTGGGTCTGGGGGTCTGGAGACCTCTGGAACACAAGTTCTGTCATGCAGATTCAGAGCAGGTTCAGTCACTCTCTCTGAGTGTGACAATAGTTGATGTGGTTGCCTGCACTGAGGTATTGCCATCCTGAATGACCTGTCATGTACTTCTTAACTTCTCCTGGAGTATTTGTGCATAAGGAGAAGAGAAACTATTTCCCATGTGTGTCAGAAGATCAGTGCTTTTGACTATGGAGCATCACTGCTGGTGGAAATGGATTTCATGTCATAGTGGGAGCACATATGTCCCCTGGAGCTATTTGTTTGTTTTAAGTGTTGAATTTACATCAAAGTTATAAATCTGGAAAATACACTCATACCCTTTCTAGAGCTTCATGTAGTAAGATGGTATTTTATTAAACAGTTGCAAAACTGGTCAAGTCTGTTTTGAAATGAGGTTTTGACTGTGGGATACATGAAGGATTATCCAAAGCAGAAATATGTGAAAAACAGCATCATGCTAGCCACTAACGAGTGCAAGGTATATGTATATTGGTTCTGAAAGCTCAAATGACATATTGGTTGTGAATGATTTTCATCAGCCATAACTGGCCTTTTTTACAGAATTATATTGCTAACCACATATATTAAACCACAAAAATCTTAATTTGTTAGATAGGTTATTGTCTCCCTGAAAACTCAGCTTCTGAGCTTGCTGACATGGTTTTCTAAAGACTTTCCCAGGACAGTAACTGTAAACATAGATATGTGTACATTCTTTCTGTTACACGTCTTGTGATGGGCATCTCTCATGGCCAGTGCAGTGAGAAAGTGTTATCCTGACCATCCAATCCCTGGCTGTGGTCAGAAACCTATAAATCCTGGGAGGAAAAATAAACTCTCTCCTCTTTTCACCACACCTCGAGCTGTGTCTGTGTGATCTATTCAGCACCAGCGGCAACAGGTTATCCCAAACATACCTGTAACATTTAAGGAACTAGAGTGGTGCAAGTTCTGCAAAGCACGTGATTTATAACCATACTGTGCCAATTCTGCAAACACAGGCCATTTATAAGCTGGTGGGCAAAGGCAGAAACTTCACAGGGAAAAGGGACTACAGGAACATGCCAAAAAACGTGCCTTTGGGGTGTGAGGAAAGATGGGCTACTGGGATACTGACATCCTTTTTCTGCTCTAGTCACAGGTACCAAACCAAAGATGTCCTCAACAAGAACGATTCTACTCATCCTGGGATTCCTCTCTACTTTGGCTGTAATTGCTTTAATTGCTGTAGCAGTCACCCAAAACCAGCCACTGCCGAAGAATATTAAGGTATTACCAGCTGGTACCCTTAGGGGAAAACAAGCTGGGGAGTCAGGTGTCCATTGTGCTCACAGACAAGTCACTGCCCTTGCTGGCTCTAGCTAATCTCTTTTCCTGGCTCCATGCACCTCAACATCTTGTTTTATATCTTTGTGGTAAAACCAGTTACAGCTTCACAGGGAATTGTGTCCTAAATAACCAGTCCCAACTTCGGGGTTTCTCTGCTCCTGTTTCCTTTGACGGGAGTTTTGCACTGAAGCTCTGCTGGGAGGAGCAATGACAGCCACTGCCACAGCTGCCAGGCTGTGTGTGCCTGGTCCCTGTGTCTGGCTCGGTGTCTCAGGTGTGATATGGGCTCTGTTTTGCCGCAGTATGGGATCGTGCTGGATGCGGGATCGTCCCACACCAACCTCTACGTGTACGAGTGGCCAGCAGAGAAGGAGAACGACACTGGGGTGGTGAAGCAGGTGGAAGTGTGTAAAGTTGAAGGTAAGAGGAGAAAAAGGAGCTGGGGAAGGGGCGTGGGATGAAGAGATAATGTAATAAAAGGGTGAGGGAGGAGAAATCCAGAGGAAGAGGCCAAAAGTAGAAACAGTGTTACATCTGTGAGATAATGTATATCTCACTGCTTCCCAGGGGGAGCTGTATGTGCCTGACCTTCCTGGGGAGAAAAACGGATCCAGTCTTCCATTTGTTTCCAGGATGCTTGGAATAAATTGCTTTTTGGAAAGAACTACACTAAAAAAATCTACTTATATAAAATGTCTGCATGCACTCTTGCTGAAGTGCTGATGAACGCAATGAGAAGGGAGAGCACGGTTTGATCTTTTTCAAGGTTTCTGTGCAAGCTGTGCACAGGGCTTGTGACTCAGGGTTGCTCAGCTAATGTGTGTCATGGCACTTTTTAAATTCTATTTAATTGCTGTCTAGATACTGTATGGTTTAGGAAGGCATGAATGAAGCCCAGGGGTGCACACAACAAGGAACAGCACAGACCATCATGGATCACTGCATTCTGAGGTGTTGTCAGACCTGCCTGGGGTCTTTTCAGGCCTCTGCAGTGCAGGGGAGAGCCCTACTGTTATCAAGCTGCCGTGATAGCTGTGCAGTGCTGCAGCATCCCACGTCACGAGCAGCACACTGAGCACACAGCAAGCTGGAGCAAATGGGGCTTCCCTGCTGCCATGCAGACACTGGTCCTGGGGCAGCCCAGGGAGCCAGGGGACACATGGCAGAGAGGGACAATGATTCTTTCCTTGGCTTAGCATAAGGCAAAATAGCTGCAAAACAGCCAGTGTTGGAGTGTGAGTATAAAGTACACAAACAAATGACAGCATCTGCTCCAGAGGAGCCAGCATAGGAGGGTCAGGGATATTCAGGTGCAGATCCAGGGTACACCCAGGCAGACTCAGAGAAGAGACTGCAGATGTTCAAGGCATGCTGAAGAAATGGCTTCTCTCAGCCCTCACTGCTAGTTCATAGTCTGCTTTGCAGAGAAAGGGTGGCAGATACTGGGCACTGTGACCACCCACTACATGCACTGGGTTTTGTCGGTGCTGCAGGATTTCTAGAGCTGCTCAGGAATGGTGTGGTTGGACCTGATTCTGCTGCCTGTGATATGGTTTAACACACCTGCTGCTCACAACAGCATTCTGGGGCTATGCTTGGAGTCTGAACAATGAAGTGCCTTTACTTCTTGCAGGCCCTGGGATCTCAGGTTACTCCCATGCCACAGAGAAGGCAGGTCCCTCTCTGGCACAGTGCCTACAACAAGCAAAAGAGGTGATTCCCTCAGCACAGCACAAAGAGACACCCATCTACCTCGGAGCAACTGCTGGCATGCGGCTTCTCAGGTACCGCAGGGCTCGTCCCCTTCTCCTGCAGCACTGCACCTGGGATGGCCATGGCTGTGCCACTGGGGAGCAGCCCTTGGACATGCTGCCAGCTCACACTGTGCCCAGATACCCTCCCCTGCTGCTGACCTCTCAGAGCCCCGAGTCCCCTGGACTTTTCCAATGCTTCCCTGCTCGCTCCAGCCTTCCATCATCTCCTGCATCCACATGCAGCACTGACACCAGGAGATCAGCAGTACCCAGGCTGCTGCCTAGACTTCCCCACAATTAAGGGATGCTCAAACATCCCCACAGTCTGGTATTAGGCCTAATCCTGGATTTTTGAGCCCAAACGTGCTTTAACTCCCCAACAGAGGGCCATTAGAGGCTAAGGCAACTTTATAATCACATCCTCCTTTAATCAGAATTTGTGATTTTCATGAGAGTGACACAGACCTCTTCTGGCTAGCACAGGGAACTGATCTTAGGTATATATTGCCTAGGAAATCTTCCTGGGAATATCTTCTGTATTTCTTCTCTAATTTCTTCTCTAATGGTGACAAAGAGTGAGAGGAATCTCCACAGTACAATTCCTATCAGGACACATGCTACAGAACAAGAGCTCTGGTCTCTGCCCCAAGTAGTTACCACTCTCAGCTGCGGGGTCTGTGAGTGTCAGAGCTGGTGGCAGCTGTGCTGTCAAGGTGTGACAGAGAGGACCATAGCCAGCTAGACCTGGATGACCCATATGAATGACTGGTCTCCCATCCTTGACACTTGGTGGGGAGTTGCAGCCTGCCCACTCAGAATAAAGCACATAGAAAGCTGTCAGCCAGAGTTACTCCATCCTTTCTCCCATTCATCCAGGTTGCAGAACGAAAGTGCAGCTGACAAAGTCTTGTCCTCGGTAGGAAGCACACTACGCTCAGCTCCCTTCAACTTCCAGGGTGCCAGAATCATCACTGGTCAGGAGGAAGGAGCCTATGGATGGATCACCATTAACTACCTTCTGGGCAATTTCAAGCAGGTAGTATATCTATAGCAGGTACCTTTGAACCATTGGTCTGCAGCCCTTTGTAAGTCCTGCCTTGCAAATGGTGTCACAGGCACTCCCTTCCCTTGTAATCCATTTGCCAGGGATCAGGAAGCTGCACATCTTGCCTCAGCAGTAGCTGTGAGTACATCCTGGTACTACCAGCTACCAGGACACACCACTATAGTCAGGCTGCAAGCACTGAAATAAAACACCAGCATCTTCAATAATTTTGCTTGGGTACAGCATCCTTCTCACTTCCCAATCTAAAATATTTCTGTTTCTGAGAAGTTTGACTATGGTTCTTTCCTGTTGAGCTTATAAATCTTCTGAGAGCTGAAACAGTAATCAGACTGGTTTTTCTCATAACAGTAGTATTAGATTTCATATTCTTTGCCCTTCTGCAAACACTTGGGCATGATCCATCTTCTGTATTTACAAGCTTGAATATTTCTTATGTCTTGTTCCAGCTCTCATGTCCTCTCCAGGATTTCCCATGTTTCCTGTGTTCTGTGCTTCTGCTTCTTTCCTCACAGTTCTTTCTCTTTTTCATTTCTCCAAAATAAATCTTCTCCATGCCCAATATATCTGGTTTACTTTAATTTTTTTTATTTTTTTTCCAAGTCTGGCTGGAAAAAGCTTCTACACTCCCTGAAATCCTTAAGTGAGACATCAGGAGCACTAGACCTTGGAGGAGCATCCACACAGATTACCTTTGTATCAAAGGACCTCTCTTCTGAGTCCCCAGAGAACCAGCTCTACTTCCGTCTCTATGGCAAGGATTACCAAGTGTACACGCACAGCTTTCTCTGCTATGGGAAGGACCAGGCCCTGCAACAGAAACTGGCCATGGACCTACAGGCAAGTACATCTACACCTGTAATTGAACAATCCTGGACCCTGCCAGCTTTGGGATACTGGTGCTGTAAAAGTTGTTGTGTCCCAGCTCACCTCTTAGTCTGGATTAGGGAAATGTCATTGTTCTCCAGACAGAGTGGGCATGAGTGCCCGGAGAGGTGACAGTCCATACTTTCAAAAGTACTACTGATTTGAGATGCCTCAATTCTTGGACATGGGATAGCAAGAGAACTAACTGCATTTAACTGAAGTACTCAGGGGAGGTGGCATTTTACCATCTCTGAGAAACCCAAATCAACAGCACAGCTTCACAAGCTGTGACTTAAAATAATTTGCCAGGTTCCTTACAAGGAGGCTGTGGCAGTACCCACATCTCCCCCTGCACAGCCAGTGCCTTCGGCCATCCTTATCCCTTTGACCTGATGTGTGCCCCTGGATGAGATGTACTGTGACAAGTGCCATCCTTCCTTGTGGTTGTTTCCCAGGGTGTTATTCTAGAGTAAAGTGTAACAGTTTGGATTGATTTTTACTTTCAGACCCTGGAGAACAGCAGTCTCCCTGACCCATGCTTTCACAAGGGTTATGAGAGGACTATAAATATTAGTGACTTCTTCAAAAACCCTTGCACATCAGACAAGAAAAAGCAGTTACCTTTCAGCCAGCTGTACATAAAGGGAGAGGGGGACTATCAAAAGTGCCGAGAAAACATCCAGAAACTCTTCAACAAAAGCAATTGTCCTTATTCCAGTTGCTCCTTCAATGGGATATACCTACCTCCATTACAAGGGGATTTTGGGGTGAGTCTTCACTCATTCTTCAACTCTCTGTAATCCAGAATGTCAGAAGAGCAGAAATTCAGAGTAATGCTAGAGTGCGTTCTTTATGACAGAGGTATGGAAATCATTTACGAGATGTTTTTTGGACGTGTAACTACAAAAGTAGTGCTGCACTTGCTGTGAGGACAATACTGGCCTACCAGTACTGCACTGTTCCCATTCTAACCCATCTCTTTGGGGTGCTCTGTTTACTCACTTTTAAGCTGTCTTTCCTGATGTCCAGCACCAGAGGCAGGAGAGCCTGCTGCAGGCAGGAACACTGCTCCTGCAAACCTTGTCTCCTGAGGTCAGTGGTGGTACCAGATCTGAAACTCACCCAGCAGTGTCTGAGCGCCACTGAAACCAGTCAGCTCACCTATCTGCTTCCCTGACACGATGAGGAGACAGTGCACACTCTGAACACACATGATGTGTGACACCATGCTGACCATCAGTCCCAGAGCTGCAAGAGCTGCTCAGTGATTGTGAGGCTTTCCAGGGAACTGCTAATACAATCTTGTCCTGTTCCTAAGCTGCCTCCTGCCTACCAGCTACTGGCCATGGTCAGAAATGGGGTTTCTGGACCTTGGATTATATGATGGAGCTCTGTACAATCCTTTCAGACAGTCACCTCTGCTCTTTGTGGTGATGTTGGTTGCACACTCAGCTCACCCAGCTGCCAAAACAGGATCATGGTTGTGATGGCAATCAGTGTTCACTGTATGCCACTGGCACACCTAAAGGAGAGAGCTCACAGAAGTTCTTCAGGATATCATAATTCCTACCTCCATGTCTCAGCAGCTCTGAGCCATATGTCTCAGAATGACATCACTCCTGAAAACATTCCTGCCCTTGTGTGTGTGATGTTGCTTCTTATATTTCTCTATGTATAAATAAACTCATTTTCTTTTGTGTTATTTGTGGCCTAGTCAGATTAAAAGAATCTTTTTCCTTCAGGCTTTTTCTGCTTTCTATTTTGTGATGAACTTTTTGAACCTGACCAGTGAACCAAACCCCCTTGCCCTGAACAAAGTGACCAGCACCATTGAGAGCTTCTGTGCCCGGCCTTGGCAAGAGGTAAGCTGCACTTGTTGCACTAGACTGGGGCTGCTGATACTTTTCTGTAGGATAAACAGCAGGGGTTAATTTCCAGAACAAGATGGGGAAGATCCCCTCAGCACCTGCAGTGGGATGCTCAGGCACAAGCTGGAGCAGTGGGAAGGTGTGTTTAACAGCCTGGTGATTGTCTCCTTCCCCAGGTGAAGACAGCATATCAGCACATCAAAGAAAAGTACCTGAGTGAATATTGCTTCTCTGGAGCCTACATCCTCTCTCTCCTGGAAAATGGCTATGAGTTCACTGAAAATAATTGGCAAATGATCCACTTCCTTGGAAAGGTGTGTTTCATGGTGGGCAGGGCTGTACCCCAGCAGTTCTCTGCAGCCTCTGCTACACAGCCTGGCCCTTATCCCCAGGAGTGCCACTGCTCAGGCAATGCCATGGGCAGCCTCCCAGCACTGATTCTGCTCTTCTGTTTCAGATTGGCAGCAGTGATGCAGGTTGGACCCTGGGCTACATGCTGAACCTGACCAACATGATCCCTGCAGAGGAGCCAGCAGGGCCCCCTCTCTCCCATGGCAGCTACGTGGGGCTGATGGTGCTGTGCTCCCTTGTGCTGGTGTCTGTGCTCCTGTTTGCCTGGCTTCTCTTCCACAAGCCCAAGTGCCTGCAGAAGGGAATTGTTTAGGAAGAACCTGAGGGGAGAGGACCCATGTCATCCTGGCTGCTCAGGGCTCAGGAGACCCCAGCAGAGCAGAGTCCCTCTCACTGAAGCTACTGACTGTACAACAAGGGCATTTATTTCTTCTGATTCACACTTGCACTGACAGATGTTGGGACATCAGGCTCGCCACCTTCTCTGCCAAGGACAGACAAGCTCGTGTCCCCTCCTTGAGTGGGTCGTACTCTCATTCAATGAAACTTTGCTGCTTGTTGGTTTCTGCCTTGTGCACAGCATTATAAAGAGAAAAGTGGCAGCAATCTTTGGGAGCCAGTGCTCCTGCAAGGGTTATCTCAGGGTCACAATCCCACTGAGCTCTTGGGAGCTGTCACATACAGGGTGATCCTGCTCCTTCTCCGCTGAAGCTGTTCCCAAGAGCCCTTTCTGCACCAGCACACCTCTGCTCACCTCCCCACGCCCTGAGCTCTCACAGCGCTACAGCTGGCTACAGCTCTTGCACCTGGCTGGCCCCTGAAGGCGGGTCAGGTTCCCAAATGCCACTCTGGGAAAAGAAGGGATGAGGATGAAGAAACCGAGCATGCTTGTGGTCATCAGCCCTTAGCTGGGTTCTGCCGGCTGTCAGCTCCTTTTGCAGGTGGCAAAATGCCTTTTTCCCACGTCTTCCTGATGTCATTGCTGGACCAAAGCTGGCTCGCTGTTGCACTGAGCCGTTCCCGCGTCCCTAAGGCACATCAAGCCACAAGTTCCCAGCCAGGCATTGCTGCATGTTGTAGGAAGATCTTGTATTGTACTGGTTCCTTGGCCAGAAGTGAATATTTATGCCTGCAGGGACTCTGGTGTGACCAGTGTGCCCTCGGGTATAGACCCACTGAAGCAATCCAGGGTCACTGTGCTGATAACACAGCAGCCTCCAGTTTAAGGAAAGTGTTTATCAGTTAATGTTCCTGTAGGCAGCTGGCAGCAGTTAACCAGCATGAGTATGCACAGATTGAACCACTCTTTCCACCAGCAAAATTAATGAAATTTTGCCATTCCTTTCCTCCTAGCACAGGCTTATCCTATGGCCATAAGACCAGGGCTTGTGAGTGCACATACTGCAGCCCATCTTCTAGCACACAACTAGGATGATGCCACTGATTGAGTTTATGAATCACTTTCTTCCGTTTTTCCATTTCTTGGTCCAAAAAAAAAGAGAGGTAAGTCAGAAATCAAATTTTGTAAAAACAGTTAGAAACCACTGGTGCCTGTCTGCCTCCCACAAAATCTCAGAAATCTCTTCTCCAAATGACCTGTAAATGTGGAAGCAAACTGAAAGCAGATATTGGAGAGAGAGAGGAAGGCATAGCAAATGCACATCTGCTTCCCCAAGCAGAGGTGCAGGCAGTGTGGAGGGGATCAGGATGTGCAAGCCCAGTAAAGCCCTCTCCTTCAGGCAAGCACAGACACAGAGCTCTCCCAGTCTGTCCCTCTGCGTAGTCCAAGCTGGAAAATGTCACCCAGTTAGTTCTACTTCATGCCTGGAAGTAGAAGCCCTGATATATTGAAGGACCTAAATGTAAGGAAAAAAAATCTACCCTGTTCTAAGATCTTTGGGCAGATCATTGTTCTTCTAAAAATCTGTCTTATTTTTGCTCTGAATTAGCTGGCTTCAGCTTCTGTTGGATCCTGTTCTGCCCATTTCCAAAAGACTGAGTAACTCTGTTACTAAAATCCCTTTTTAAATTTGTTGGTGCTTGCAAGTTGTCATTATATCATATTAAATAGATTGGTTTTCAATCTGTAAAGTGGTCTCTGCTGACCTCACTTGCAGCTCTCCATTTCTTTTAAAAGTTTTATGTCTTTCTGAAACTTAGACACCAAAGTTTTCAGCAGGTAGCAGAGTCACTAATAGTGTATTTATCTGGTTTTGATCTATGCTCTATGTCCCCCATTCATATATCTCTGGTCCAGGTCTGTTCACTTAACAGAAAGTTTTTAGGCTTTTGAGTCCAGCTGAGCTATTGCAACTCAGTCTTTTTTCCCGGTCATTGCATTTCAGAACAGCCTCTCACATCCTACATCACTGTCTCTCAATATGAGCCATTTTTCCTTCTGTATGGCTCCACTGAAACACTTATGATTCAAAGAACATTGCCCCAAGCAGATTATCCAGCTCAATCTGCAAATGACCCTTCAGCAGCTGTGAGTCCATTGACTGGTTTTTGTTTATCTGCAAACACATTGCGATGTCTGAATTCAGCTAGGGATGCAGTCTTCCCTCTGTTGTTTGCAGCAAAGATAGGCAGATGAGAGATGAACAGCAGGTTTTGGCCATGGCTGGAAGGCACACAGGAGAAATGTGGGATCAGAGCTACTTCTGCTGCCCAGACAGCCTCATTTGCAACACACCCCATCCCGTGCCACCTTCCTTGCATACAGAGCCTTTGTAGCAGAGCAGATGTCCTGGGGAAGCTCCTCAGGTGAACTGGCACATCCCTTGAATAGCATGGAAACCTGCAGAGTGGAAATTCCTCTCCTGAGACCTCCTTGGGGGTCTGGCAGCTGCTCGGTTGTGTCCATGATGAGAACTGGCAGATCCATTAGGACATGTCAGAAATAGATGCAAAAACCTCACGTGGAAGTCGGTGTGGAAAGAAAAGTTTGTGCCAGTCTGCTCTTCTTGTCCCTGCTAAGGATTTATGCCACAGGAAAATGTCCAATATCTGGGAGAAGAGCTTTTACAATGTTCTGAATCTGAATTGCAAGTCCCTTAATATTAATATTGTTAGCTCCTGATTCTGGAGCCAGGTGAGCAGCTGGCATCTTGACTTGCTCCTCCTGTCTTAATTATCTCACTTTTTGGGTTGAGTTTTGGGGTTTTTTAAAGCTTTAATTGTGACTTGAGTCCAACCTAAAGGGCCCAAACTAAAATAAATGCAAAATATGTTACAATATTTTTAAAACCTATTACTTTTATACCCTATTCATAAATAAATCTCTCCAGGATAAGAACTTCTAAGGTGACAACATGCCAGTTGAGCAGTCTGAGCCTCCAGGAATTGAAGGCACCCTGTCAGGGTGAGACCATTGCATGTCTCTGCCTGGTAGTGAACATTCACAGAATGGCCTATGATTGTTTTCTCTCCATTTCTCCTGTTATTGCAGGACTTTTTTCATGGAGGCTACTCAAAATCCTTGGTCAAAGAGTTCAAGTTTATGAACATTCATTTCTTTGCTTCTGTGTTGCATCTGATCCAGCTGTATTCAACTCAAATGTGTGTTCCAGAGCCACCCAACATGTAACTGAAGACCATTAATGATAGTGGAGGAAGTTCCCAAATATGCCAGTAATAATGTATCATTTCTCTTGTTAATACAGTTCATCTGCCTCACTGATAATTATCTGTGCCTTATTTCTAATTTGATAGCTTCTGGCTTTAATTTCCAGACACTTCCTGCTTTACTATTTGGCTTTTCCTGGGTAAAGCATCTTCTAGCGTCACACATTCTTGTCTATCACATATTTACTCACTATTCAGCTCTGCTGCGCTGCCAAGACTCCAGACTGTGGTCTCTCCTGAAGAGAGAGCTCTCCTGGGCTCCTAGGAAGCTCTGAGATGTGCTCCAGCAAGGTAGGATGAGTGTCTCTGGTTTGGGTTCAAAGGTTGATTGGTGCATTTTTGGGGAGGTTCCTTGCAGAGGGATTTGACAGGTGCAAGGGCAGCCTGGTCTCGCTGGGACTGATGACCTCTATGAGCTCTGCCATACTCAGCCAAGTGTCAAGTGTGGAGCAAAGCTGTCAAAACTTGCCAGAAGAGAGAGCCTGGGTACCTGCAGCACCCTCACCTCTTGCAGGAAAACTGCTCCCCACCACAGGCTCTAAGTACCTTTCACTCTCCCCCCTGATAAAGCTGCCTCTCCTCTGTGCACAGGCTGCAGCTGATTTCTCCAGCCCTGCACAAAGCACAGCGGGGCCTCCACCTGGAAGAAAGCTCTCAGAGGTGGGGCCATCACCTCTGCACTGGAAGGCTGATTTGAAGTGTTGGCGCTGGCCAGGGCTTTCCAGTTTCTCCCAGAGCAGCTCTGGGCTGGATGTGTGCCCCTTCATTCTCCACCCCAGTTCTTCCCATGCTCTGTGCCAGGCAGGATGTGCAGGCTCTGCAGGGCTGCCAGCTTTGTCACAGGCTCAACAGCCTGTTCAGGAGGGACTGGGGAGGGCACACTGAGGATAACAGTCCCTGCCACCCAGGCCATGTGTTTTCTTTCTGTGGCCCAACCCTGAAGAAATGGATCTTTGTTTTGGTGCACACACAATGCTTATCATAATAAAGACTTCTGATCTGATGCCAGAAAAGTTTTCACGCTGTTTTCCAGAAGATGGGGGTTTGCCAGTAGTGGAATGGAGCATCTGGCACTAAACGTGGAAAAGTCCTGAGATGGGATTTCCTCTCTTGCCAGTTCCTCGATGCTCTCCTGGGTCAGCTCTGAAGTACCCGATGGATGGGTAGCATCCCCTCCTGGTAGAGAAAGGCACTGTGGTCTTTCCCAGGCTCTGGGCACCTCACACAGGTTGCCTCACTCCTGGGAAGGCTGCTCGTGCCCAAACCACATCTTTCTTTGCCTTAGCTTCAGCCCGACCTCCTCAAAGCAGTTTGTTCTCCCGAGCTCTGAACTGGACAGAAGCAGTCCCCTGTTCTCATTTTCCCTCCCCCAGCCAGCCCCACTGGCATCGTGCTGGCACTGCAGCCCACCTTCCCAGCCCCCTGAACAGGTGAAGGACAGTGGGGCTGTGTCCCTTGCTCACAGGGCTGTGTGTCTCTGTGTGCAGCCACAGCCACAGCTCTGCCAAGGCAAACAAAGCTTGTCATACTTGTTATTTTTCTATCAGCATGCACTCCCCACAGCTCGCTCATTCTTATGGCTATTAGCTTGAACTTTCCTCAAATTTTCCAGTTTTCCTCTGTTAACAATATGGCCAGAACTAAAGTGAGCCCATCAGATGGAGTCTTTCCATGGCCAGTTCCAGTGGAATCAGGTCCTTGCTGCCTGTGCTCATCAGCAATGCAAGGGTGGGGGGACAGGACTTGCATTCACAGTCCTCTCACTCTCAGCACAGTGGCACAGAGCATTCCTGCTCCCCTTCTTTCTCACACAGCCCCAAGGTCTTCCATTCTTGAACATCTGGGTGGGGGATGGGGGAGTGTATGATCCATCCCAGATGTATTAACTGTATTTTCCAAATGAAGTCTTCATTCACTTGCTTCACTATTTCTAAGTTCTAACAACTTCTATTGTTTGTTTCTGCTTTCATTGGTGTTTTGTAAAGGCCATGCTAGGTCAGATCAAACAGGCAGCACACTGGCACTCGTCTCCAGCTGTGTGGTGCACGAGGATTTGGAGGGATAGTTAGGGAAACAGCATAATCCTTTTCTTCCACCCATCAGGGGCTTAGGAAATTTGTGATCAAATGATTGCTTCAAGATCTGATAACTATGAATTCCTGCTCTCTATGAATTCATCTTATCCTCTTTTGCACTCATTTAACTTTCAGCTTTGATGATGTAATTCCATGGTGTCTTTTGTGCAAAACTATTTCCTTTTGTATGCTTTAAACCTGCTGCCTGATAACAGGCTGCCTCCATCCCAGTGCTGTGGATAATGCTGACTAACTCTCCAGACCTAGAAGTGTGTGAGATGGGTTCTCCACCCACATAAGATTTTGCCCATGGCTCCTTTTTAGGCTCTAATGCTGTGGCATTTCTTTTTTTACTGTTGTTTCTCACATCAATGCTGCGTGCCTCCATAGGAAAGTGAGAGCTTTCCTCATGTGTCCCTTGGCAGCACTGCAGTTCCAACTCTGCCACTGCTGTCCCAGGCTACTGAAAGCAGCCTAGGAAGGGAAAGGGGAGGGTGAAACTGGCCAAACATGGGGCTTGTGCTATTTTACTATAGCCCTGCCTAGCACTCTCTGGCTGCCAAGTAACACTGGGTAGTGCTGGAAACCTGCCCATGGCTCTTTCACATGGCCTTCGTTGCTGAAGCCTGTGGAAAGAGCAGCTCCACAGGACCCCAGCAGCCCTGGGAGCAGGGATGTGAAGGAGGTGAAAGCATTTCCCACTGCTGTTGTGGGCTGCCAGCTTTGCAAAATACTACCAGACATGTCCTGCTGTAGGGACAAGAACTGTCCTACCATGGCCATGCTCACCATGCCACAGCTTCAGCTACTTTGCCTTGGTTTCTGGCATGTGCTGGAAGAAGCTATCACCTCCAGCACTGACTCTTGTTACCTGGCTGCAGGTGACTGCAGTGCCACTCCTGCTCCTGAACGTGTGCTGCTTTCAGACCGGCTGACAAGCAGGGATGTGGGGGGAAGCAGCTTAACTAGGAGAAGGTATTAACATGGTTACTGCTATATATGTATAATAGATCTATTTTTCTGGTCATGTCTTCAAAAGGATATTTTTTCAAAAACAGGGGTTAAGAGGAAATTTCCCAGATGGGGCAGAAGACCAAGAAGGCAAAGGGTCAAGGAGAGAAAGGATCACTATGATGGTGCTGGGGCAGAAGGACGTTGGATATGGGAAAGTCTGAGTAAGTCAAGTCATGAGCAGGCAATCCATGTGCCTTCACCACCAGCCTGCACTCTTTGCATCAGAGTCTATCAACAGCAGCTAAAGGCTATAAACAGGGACTCCCCTGGTTCTACCACTGCTCTTCCTGAAGTAGAAAGACAGCAGCCCAAGCAGATGTGGAGAACAGGTAGGAAAGCACTGGGAGAGAATGCTTTGCTGTGTGAAGCAACCCTTGACGCAAAAATTAGAGCAATGCAGCACAGATCCATCTCAAGGCTGAAGGGAAAGCAAATGTTTGGCATGGCACTGAGTATCCTGGGCAGCCCATTACTGATGGCCAGAGGAGCTCCTCTCTAGCATGGCCTGGATAGAGCAGAATAGCGTGCTCGTGTTACCAAAGGGAGCCTTTCTCTTGGCCTGTCCAGCCGTGATGGTAAATTTTTCAACTGTTTGTGCTCATATTTGGGCTCTTTGTCAGGGTTGTCCTAGTAAATACCTCGTCAGAGCCACTAGGCTGCTGGAGTTTTATTTTCGCGGGGCAAGGCTGCAAACCAAGGCTGCCTCTGGCAGTGGGCAGAGAGCAGGGACCATCTGCCCACCGGGATAAGTGTGGCAGAGGGGTGGAGAGGAAGCAGCATCCCCTCTATCCAGAAACAGTTTCCTGCTGTGCCATTTTCATTTGTCTTTACGCAGCTAAGCAATGTCCTGCTGCCCAGTGCCCGTCAGAACTCTTTCTCATGCCCACTCCCAGGGCAGGGCGGGATGATACCACACTTTGGAGCGCAGCTCCCCGTGACGGTCCCTGCTCAGCACACAAGTCCTGCATCACATCCCTGCTCTGCCCTCCCCCTGCACCGTCCCAGCTGGGCAGTTTGGGCAGCCAGCTGCGGCGAGGGCGGTGCAGTCCCTGCCTCTGTTTATCCCGGGAGCAATGGGATCTCCGGGTGAGCAGGGCCGGGCAGAGGGGCCGACTGACCCGCGGAATCCGCGACGGTGCCTCCTGTGCTTCCCCAGGAGATGAGGCAGGAGAGGAGGCGCGGAGCCGGGACCGGGCTCCGGGGAGGAGCGGTGGGAGCAGCCCGCGCAGGGCAGGGCTGCGGGAATCGTGCGGGAGGCGAGGCCGCCCCGGCTCTATTCCCATCCCCCCCGGCTCTTGCCCCCAGAGAGGGCTCGGTGACGGGGAACCCCCGCCCGCCGGCCCCCTCTCCTCTCCTCTCCCCCGCCCGCCGCTCCCCGTGCGCTTGGCAGCCCCGACGCCCTCCGCAGCCAGTTTTCCAGCCCTGCGCTTCTTCTGCGGTGACAGCCGGTGGCTGCGGGGGCCTGTTTGCTGTCCAGTTAATAAGTGAGCTGGAGCGGGGGGAAACTTCTCCGCCGGGGGAAGCGGGCTCGCCGGGGGCCGGCCGGGCGGGCGGGGGGAGCATTCCTGCGCCGCGGGGCCCCGGCGCGCCCCGCTCCCGCCGCCCCCCGCCCGCAGGTGCAGGGGGCTGGCACTCGGCAGCTGGAAAGAGCTGGTTGGAGTTTGCACTTTAAGCTCCCGGCGGGGAGGGAGCCGGGGCTGGGAGCTGGTCCGGGCGCCCAGCGCCGCGGGAGGATGGCGCGGTGGCTGCGGCCCCTCGTGGGAGCCCTGCTCCTGCTCGAGGGGGCGGCCGCCCTCAGCTTCCTCCACCATCGCTACGAGGAGCTGGTGCAGGCCCTGTTCCGCGTGCAGAGCCAGTGCCCCTACGTCACCCGCATCTACAGCATCGGCCGCAGCGTCGAGGGCCGGCACCTCTACGTGCTGGAGTTCAGCGACTACCCGGGCATCCACGAGCCCCGTGAGTACGGGGGGAACGGGACAGCGGCTCGGACAGGACGGGCTTCGTCGGCGCTCTCCGTGCCACGCGGCATGTTGGGGCACTGGGTGGGGGGTATCTCCCCGGCCAGGCAGGACTCCCGGCGGTGCCCGGGTGGCAGGCAGCGCGGTCTCCGGCGCGGACCCCGCCGCCAGCCCCGGGACGCCCGCACACATGCACCGTGCCGCTGTGCTTGCGTGAGCTGCGGCGTGGCCCAGGCGCGTACTTTGGACGGAGCTCCGAGTTTTCAACTCAAGCTAATGCGAGAACGCAGGCGAGTCCATCCCAGCTCTCCACCTGCACTAGCACACTCTCCCTCCCTAAACAGCGTTGTTCAGGCAAGGAGGACAGCACCCACCCTGTGCCCTGTGCTGCTGGGTAGGGACGGGAGAGAAAGTGTTCGGCCCTTCCTCCCCCGGACGGCAAACCCAGGAGGACAGCAAGCAGGGACCGCGGCAGAGAGAGCGCTGGGTTTCTGCAGCCCTGCCAGCCCCGTGGGCAATGCAGCCCCAGTGCCAGGCTGGTCCCAGGGATCTCCACCTGCTGCCACGTGGCCCTGAGGAACCTTGGCAGCAATGGCCCCTTGAGCTGCTGCTGCTGCTGCCTGTGCAGCTTGGAGATGCTGCCGAGCCAGACCTTGCTGGCAGCCAGGTGCCCTGGGGGGCTGCACACAGAACTCCCTCCCATCCCTACCTTCTGTCCCCGAGCTGCAGATAAGGACAGAGCTCCCTGTTTTCCGCAGGATTTTTTCTCAAGTCCTGGTTGATGTGGTTAAACGCAGGGGTTGATAAGTGCAAGCAGCCTAGTCACATGGAAAACTGCCAGCAGGGCTGTGCAGGACCTGTGCCCCCCTCGGTGGAGCAGCCCCCACAAACCCCACAGCACCCCATGCCTGGCAGCACTGCACTGGGGCCCACAGGATCATTTTCAGCGGTGCCAGAAGATGGGATGGGAAGCTTCTCACCTTGACTACCTCTGTGACAGCCCTGTTCAGCACTGGGAAACCTGCGTGGCACTAAGGGTGTCTGGGGCACCTCCGCAGTGCATCAAGGGCTGATTC